ATATTAGGCTTTATTACTATATTTTTTAGTTTTGTAATTGTATCTTTATATTCCTTCCTAATTTGTAATAGGCCTGTATATTAAGTAGTACACGCGCGTAGCGTCTGTGCGCTTATTTTAGTACCCTACTATAAAAGTTCTAATATAGCTATCCTACCCTACTATAAGTTTCCTAAACTTACTTTATTATATAGCAGATTTTCCCTACTAATTAGTCTTATCTCTACTCTTTTTCTATTAATCTAGCCTATATAGCCTCTATTATATCTCTATCTACTACTACTAGTGCTAGTAGTAAGGAACTACTATAAGATAGTTAGACCCTGCGCTAGGCCTACTAAGATAAGGTGCGTACTTCCTATATTCTCCTAATATTTCCTGCACTAACTTTTGCTTAGTACACATCTCCCTAAACCTAGCTACTTAGTAGCTTTATTATTTCTAGTAACTTAGATAATAAGGAGTATAATAGTAGTTTTGTAAAGCCACTTCCCTATAATTAGTATATTAACTAACTCTATCTCTTTAGTAAGTGTAACTATTAGGAGGGTAGTAGTAAGTTCTTCCTAATTTTTATATTCTTTATAGCAAGTTCTAACTATGTCTAGGGCGTTTATGCAAGTCTTATTATTATAGTTACAAAACCTGCACTAGGTTAGAGGCTATCCTTACTAATAATCCTAACGTCTGCTAAGCCCTCTATAACTAGCTTTAGTTTTATTATAGTTACTAGAAGGATCGCCTCTATATTATAAAGAAAGGGACCCTTAGGACCTTTATAGGAAAACCTACTAAAGGCACTTACTACTAGTTCGTGCTATAATTCTACTAGCTCTGCTATTAGTTTAAGGATCTTATATTAAGGGCCTAAACTAATAATACTATTACTCTACTTACCTCTTCTACCTACTTACACGCCTATAATTAGTACTAGCTTAGTACTATTATTCCCTTTACTACTAGTGCTCTAGCGTTTCTACTATAATCTACTATTACGCCCTTATATAGTAGTTGTAGTAATAACAATATTATATAGCTTACTACTACTACTAGTATTACCTTCTAGCGTATTAACTAGTGTATAAATAAGACTTAGGCCTAAACTAACCTTTATATTAATAGGCTTAAGAGCGCTACTAAGCGTACTACCTAAGGCATTAAGACTCTTATTATTAGTATTAGTTTTCCCTTGTTCCCTTTATATCTATTCTAATATTTATTTTCTTTAGGCCTAGGGTACTGCGTGTTAGTAAGCTATTAAAGCACTACCCTCCTCCTAACGCTACTACTACTACTGCTTATACTTATTAACTAAGTCCTCCCCTACCTATACTACGCGCAAGCGTTACTACTATTACTAAGAGATATAGAGGCGTTAGAATAACATAAATAATAGTTTAAGGGGGGCTAAGGGGGGGTTAGTTATAAATAGTAATAGTATAGACACTACTACCTAATTATTAGCTATATTATAAAGTTTTATTAGTAAGGCACTTACCTAGAGTGTTATTAGGAGTAAATAAAAGCTATCTCTAGTACCTTTCTACTTCTTAATTATAATAAAGATCTAAGTTATTATTCTAGTTTTATTCTACCTTTACTTCCTAGCTTTTATACGTATTAGGCTATTATTATATATAATATCCCTATACTATTCCTTAAACTTATCTAGAGCCTTAGTATTCTATACTACCTCTAGCAGGTGCTATATTAGATTAATATATCCCTTCTATTTTACTAGGACTTAATACTTTCCTTTTCCTCTTATATTCTTTATATAAAGGATCTCTTCTACTTCCTATTTATCTAGTATTATATCTTTATTTTCTAGGGTAACTATTAGACCTAGTTATAAGTCCTAAAGCTTCTAGCTTAGTAGTAGGTTATTAGCAGCTCTCTCTAGTAGATCTATATACACAGTCTTATATAAGTTCCCTAGTAAGTCTAACACTACTATAAGTAGAGTAGGGACTTCTATTACTTTATACTTAACCTATAGCTAGTTAAACTTTTTACTTAGTTAGTTTATCTTTATATTACGTATTATAAACTAAACTATATTACCTTTTAGGAACTTTTTAGCTAGGCGTTAAGACTAGTTTATTACTTCCTATTATTATTACTATTAGAACGCAATAGCAGCTTGCGCTAGCTCTACACCCCTCTATAGGTGTAACAAGAACGTTATAGCTTCTCTATAAGGATTCTTAGGCTTTACTAGTAGTAATATTATCTTTTATAGTGTGTGTGGAAAATTGGATTACTAAGGTTAGGAATGATTTAGGAGATGGATTATTAGATTGTATCTACTATAATCAGACTTATATATATAGAGCTTTAGCTACCCTTACTAGAAGGTAAATAATTAGTAAACCTTCCTTACTAGAGCTCCTACTTTTTATTAGGCACTTAGCAGTAAGCTAGTAGTTAAGTAGATAGTAGGTTATACAGGGGTATTAATTAGGATTAATTAGATTAAGATACTCTATAATCTAGTTAATATCCCTCCTACAACACACCCCCTAGGTATAGGTAGATCTTTTATTATTATAGTTGCGCTTATAGTTAGTAGGTAGTATAGCTAATTAGAGCGTTATATATCTAAAGGGTTAAATTAGCTTACCCTTTAGATACTAACTAGCGCGCCTTCCTTGTTTAGCCTGCGCTTACGCGCGTAGATATTATCTAGATAGAGCTCTATAACTCTATTTACCTAACTATAATCTTTACTATAGCTTAAGTTATAAGATTATATAACCCTAAAGATTAAACTATACTTATATCCCTACTAACTTATATTTTAGTTAAAGTTAAAACCTACTACTTATACTTACTCTACCTACGCTACCCTTATTACCTCCTGTATAGCTAAAGCTATAGTTACTAAAGCTACTACTACTAAAGAAGAGCGTGCTACTACTAAGCGTAAGGCTATTATAGAGTGTGTAGTAGCTAAGCGTGTAGCTACTACTACTATAGCTAAGATTACAAAGCTAAGGAAGGTTGCTCTTGCTCTAGCTCCTACTACTCTAGCTCTAACTCTAGCTCCTGCTCCTCCCTAGACCCTGCCCCCTATCCCCGCTCCTACTCCTACTCCCTCTCTAGCTCCTAAGGAGACCCTAAGATCCTCCTATTATAGAGAGCCTAGCATTTATTGTGCTAAAACTTATCTAAATTATCTACGCTTAGCGCTCTTTAATAAGTCTAATAGCAAGTGCTATAACTCTTCTAGTAAGGGGACTTAGTGCTAGTAGTGCTCCTCTAGGTATAGCTATGTCCCTATATATATAATCTATATAAGAATTTTTCCTTTATAATACTTAGCAAGATCTATACTAATAAACTAATAGCCCTAAGCTTGCCTAATATTCTACGCTATCCTTCCTAGTAAGGAAGCAGGTAGGTAAGAGCTAAGACCTTCTTAAGGATAAGAAGTAGAGGGTCTTAGTGCTCCTTAAGGAGAGCAAGGCTAAATAGCAGGAGCTAGTAAAAGCTGCTGCTACTACTGCTAAGCTTGCGCGCAAGGCTACTACTATAGCTAAGGGCGCCTAGAGCTCCTTATTAGAAGATAAGGACTCTAGCTTCTCTAAGGTTCCCCCTATAAATCCTAGAATAGGGTAACCTAGGTAGCTCCCTATAGACTCTAAGGCACGCTTTGCGCGCGTAATAGAGCTCCTTAGGGAAGCTACCTAGTTAATAATAAAGAGGTAGGCTATAGTTAGTTATTCTTATATTATATATTAATAGATCTTATATACTACCTTACTTTAATTAATATTATATAATCTATACTCTACTATTATATAACTTTAGGTGCTCCCTAAACCTTATAAATTATTATATAGTTAGGTTTTTAGTAAGCCTATTAGCTAGTATATTGCTAGTAGGTAGGTAGGTAATATAGAAAGATCCCTTTTTATACTCTTATCTAAGCCACATGTTTTAAATATCTACATAGCGTAGCTTAGTAGTAATCCTTTTATTATTACCTACTACTAACCTAATAGTTTATTAATTATTACAATTAATTATCTAGGTAGTATCTAAAGTAAGGTGTATTTTAGTTAAAAAGTGTTTTAACGCTATTGCTTCTTTGCTTACTTACTTAAGCGCAAGGAGCTCTACCTTAGTAGTTAAAGTAGTAATAGTTGCTTGTTAAGCTGCCTTCTAAATAATAGGTCCTCTAAAGAGCGTGATTAGGTATCTATATAATAATTGCTAAGTATTAATATTATTAGCAAATAACGCATTACTATATATTATAAGCTTATTAGGATCCCTATTCCTATATTAGATTAATTAGTATTAAGTTTAGTATAGATAGACAATCACTTAATTAACTGTATTAAAGTATTGTTTAGATAGGTTAGTAAGGTATTAGGAGAGCTAGGAGGCTATATAAGTAATATTAGGGCGCACTATAATTAAGGTGTAAAGGATTAATCTAACGCGCTCCTAATAGTCCTTAATCTCCTTTTTAGTGGCTTCTCCTATACTCTTTTTAATATCTTTACTTAATAGTAGTGTAGTAGGGAATTTTCCTATCTCTACTAGATTAAATTTCTTTATAATCTTGTTAATGTATTTATTATAAACAAGCGTTATTGTCTATCTCTTTCTATCCTAGATTACTCTTACCCCTAGAAACTAGCTTATAGGTCCCTTTTCTTCTATAGTATATCTTTGCTTTAGAGCTTAGATAACTTTGTAAGCTTAGCTTGCGT